GAGGGTGCTGAGGCGCTGGCACAGGGTGCCCAGAGGAGCTGTGGCTGCCCCATCCCTGGCAGTGTTCAAGGCCAGCTTGGACACAGTGGCTTGGAGCAACCTGCTCTAGTGGAAGGTGTCCCTGTCCGTGGCAGGGGGTTGAAGTTGGAGGAGATTTAAGGTCCCTTCAACCCAAACCAAACTGGGATTCTGTGAAACTCCAGAGCAAGGTATTTGGAAGAATCGATCCTGCATCAGAACAGTAGGTCATTGATGCTACGGGAAATGCCACACAGGCACGTCTGACACAGATATCCAGGGTGGTGTTTCCTATGGAAAACTCCTGTGAGGCTCTGGAATCTCAGCCTCCGCTTAAAGGAAAGATATACGTGCCAACCTGCCTTAAATTAGCCTTGGAAACTGGCTATGGAAAATGTGCCAGCTCAGATGCAAACCTCTCTTACTTACCTCGTGATGACAACAAAAGCCTGATGAAATTTTACTCATCCATTAACCAAAAAGCCTTTGCCCAGTGCCACACGTGGGTGGGATTCCAGCAGCGTGACATGATGCTTTTGGCAGGAGGATCTTGGCCCCCAAGGATGGCAGCCCTGTGGCATGAGAAACGCAGGCACTCCAACCACAACCACATACTTCACCTGCTGACTCAAGAGGAAGAATGCAGAACCTACAAGAATTAAAGTCCCAGCCAAAATCCTCAGATGTTAATCTCATGGAATGGCTTGTCAGGTAAAGATTAATGATTCGCGACTGGTGACAACACTAGCTGGTTTCTAATCACATTTATATCAAGGGATATAAATGGTATTTCACTGGTATCACTTCAGAAATCCACTGGAGGAAAAGAATTATAAAATCATAGAATCAACTGGGTTGGAAAAGACCTTTAAGCTCATCAAGTCCTCCCATTGCCCAGCACTGCCAAGGCCACCACTAACCCACGGCACTGAGAGGCTTGTCACACACTCGGTGTGTGAACACTTACACAGTTTTTCGACCCTTCAAATATGATTGCTCGGCTCATGTGGGCAGTGTTAGAGCATGACTTGTGCATTGCCATCATGGCAAGAGGCCCTGCCACGCTCCATTGGAGGCCGTGGCAAAACTCAAACTCTCCCTTTTGAAGTGTGAACTGATTTTCATTTCTCCTTCTCCTGCAGGTGTTTCATTTTTTCTCCCCACTCTCCTCCCAGCACTGAAAGCAGCAGCAATCAGATGATTTCCTACACTGCACATGGCAATGGAAATCCCAAAAGAACCCTGTCTTCAGGTGAAAACCCACCACTGGCACCTCTCCGTACACAGTGCAGCACCAGGGGCTGGGGTTATTTTCTTGTTGAGGACGGGGTATTTAAGGATGTGGTTGAGACAATGCATTTTCCGTTTGACTTCAGTTTGACTTTCAGTTTGAAACAGAGCTGCTGCTCTTCTTGTTAAACCCTATCCCAGAAACAGGGAACGATTTTTAGAAGCCCTGCCAACCTGTTTTGGCTCAGTAGGTTGAGGATACCCACATTCCAGCTATGCCTCAAGAGCCTGTGGTCACGATAAAGGAAGAAGGGTTCCCCTTCTCCACTGGTTTTCTGAAGATCCCCCTTTCCCCACAGTGAATGTTCCCAATATTCTGTGTTTTAAAGCTGTTTGTAATCTTAATTGCTGCTGGTATCTCTGGGAGATCAAAGGGAGATGGCTCTGATTCTTTGTATTACTCACTGCTCCATTAGCACAAAGCTCCCATATTCGCTTATTTGGGTTTAGGAGGTAACTGTCTCCTTTCACTGCACGCACATCATTACTGTAAGCATTCGGGACCTTGCCAACTGATGCACAGAGGGAGGAGGAGGAGAATCTTTGAAGAAGGTTGTTCAAACGTAATTCAGTCTCTAATTGGCAAGGGACCGTTACTAACGAATTGCTCCTGTTTTATGTCAGTAGTGAATCAGGTCAATGATGTGTAACATACATTAAGGCAGTTAATGAGTGTTAACTAGAAATGCGACTGAAAGACAAGAAAAAGGGTTTTTTACCTTTCGCTGGCCAAGCAGAATTGCTAATAAGTAAAAGGATATGTGTAAGTGGCTTATGTGATTCCAATCTGCAGTGGAAAGACTTTTCTTAGAATCTGATGGTAACCACAAGTTTGTGGGAAAGAGAAATCAGACGCTTACTGTGGCAGTTCAGCACAAGGTACTTCACTTCTAACCAAGCCTGAAATGAAAATGACTACAAGTCATTACCGTAAAATAGCTGATTAGAAGCCAATGTGAAGTGAGACAGTGAGCCTCTGGCCATAGCTACAGCACCAAGACATCGTGCGGCCACCTCAGCTGTGGATTTACTCCGTGGTGTCTGTGTGCACACACTTACTATGTGGTGACCCAAGTTAGCTCATTTGCTTTCACTGTGGGACAAGACACTTTGCACCTCCCAGTGTGCACCAAGCAAGCTGCATGCCCTGAAGCCTTGGGGTACCTGCATCTAGGAGAAGGACCAACTTGTTGGAGCACCCATAATCCCAGTTTGACTTTCTCCTAGACACTATGCAACAACACAACAAGGCCTTGGGTGCAAGCAGGAGCCTGTGGGTGAAGGAATAGGGGAGCCACACAAGCCAACGGTGCCAGGGCAGAGCCTTCAGGTCACAGCAGGTCCCGAGCTGTATCGTGCTGTGGATGTGTAGGCACAAGAGCAAGTATCATTACAAAATCTGGGCAGAAGGAAGAGTTCTGGTTTGCTCTGGCATGTGAACAAACTGGCTTATTAGGCCACAGGTGTAGAAATGAGAACATGGGACTGAAAGTGAGGATAAAATGGAGAACTCTCACATTCTACAAGTTTTGTGAAATAGGCATCAATGAAACCTGCCAGACACTGGTGCTCATTGCAGGGGACTGGACTAGATGACCTTTGAAGGTCCCTTCCAACCCAGACTCTTCTAGGATTCTAATAATTCCATGATAATCCCCACCTCCTGGTAGCTTTTATCTAGACAAGCAAAGATCACTGTTTCAGCAGCAGGGAAGGTCTCTGATGTTTGGAGCCAACCTTAAGTGCTGTCACAGCAGAAGACATCACCATATGAATGGCAATAGGGAACCAGTATGTCAAGCAGCAGCACTGGTGGCCGAGGTCCTTCAATTAGATGCCCTGGACACTAAAGGTCAGGTAGTTGTGGATGATCCTCACTGCTTTCTAGGGAGCAATCTGACACACACCATGGAGGAAACACCTTACATCTGAAGCCACCGCTGCTCTTCAAGTCCTGAAGTACCTTTGTGCATGGCTGAAATGTCAGGGATGCTGCTACACCCCGGGGTGCATTACTCTGCTGTACTCCAGGGCTTTTATTTCCCCATCATTGTAACTCTTGAACACTTCAGGTGAGAAGGTGGCTCACAACATTCCCTTCTTCACCACTTCATATTGCAATATCTCCCTTGCCATGTGTACAAAGTAATGCACAGGCTTTCCCTGAACAACTGATACAAAATGTCCAGTTAAGACCATTTTGATCCTCCCACTCCAGTAACAACCACTAGGTCTGGACAGAGTGTCTGCCAAGCAACCCACACTGCAACTTCTGTTGCTTCTCTTCTTACCTGTATTTGCAACCATGAGGTACCTTTATTAATGTTAGGTTGAAACGTGGCGTATTGCAACCCAATTTCTATCACCCAATGGTCAAAACCCCTTGGTACCTGGTGGGTTGCTGGTTTAGAAACAAGCTGATAACGGAGTCATAGCAACAGTACTTGAAGAGTCAGAAAATAAAACACTGAGCAGCAGCAGAAGCTGGGTATAGATTACTTTATCTCTGTATTCAATAGAGATAAAAACCCCTCTTTGAGAACAAAATCTATGCTCCGGAAACAGTAGATAGGATGAAGTTAAGAACAATCTAGTGAACCATGAGACCTGTTGCTTGCTGACATTGATACCTCAGAGTTCATCTTGAAACAGAGCCACTAGCTGTTGGTGCCATATTGGCAAAGGACAGTGCAACCACAGAGGAGGAAGTTTAGCCAGTGAGGGGAGGGTGGGGGAGACAGAAAGAAGCACACAGACACCGTTCACATGGAATCATAAATCCTCAACTTTAGAACATCAAACAAGTGCTGTTGGTTGACACTGTCATGACACTTACAGTGCTTGTTGTCTCTTTGCAATCCGAGTTGTCACTAGACAAATAAACATGCAGAAATACAGGGGTACGTGGTAGAGTTAAACACTGGAAGAAAGTGTCTTTACTAGTCAGATGACAACACAAACTCACACCTTCCAAAACGTACTGTGTGTCAGAATTAACATGATTTCCTGCCTTCCAGAAGAAGCTTCTCTGGTTCACTGACCTTCCTTTTCTTCTTGGGTCCTGTTACCTCTTCCTGGCTAAAGGCAAGGTTCAGGCAGTTTATCTGTAAGAACCATCAGAAACAGCGATCATTCTCACGGTACAGGCTCCTGCTAGACGAGTCAAAAAATACAACTTCCAAAACTACAATGTGCTTTCCTGGATCCTTTTAGATTTGTTCAGTATGATCCTGTTCTCCTGAAAAGTAATTAGGCAAGGAATCAAAACTGGGATAAGTGCATGGAATTGGAACCATAAGATTTGTGAAAGCAACAGGTTCAGCTTCAAGGACAGAGGATAGGTTTGGTGGCACAAGGAACAGTTCCCATCTCCCCACCACTGAGAGAAAATACCACGAGCATGGAGACCTCTGAGAAAAGCACAGCCTGCTTCACCAACCTCAGATCATCACAGAGTATGCAAAAGAAAGGGGGCACTTATGTCAAATTGGTGGTCACTGGAAACAGCCTTTCAGGAGGAGACACACGGCACCTCTATTTGTACACCAGGGAACTTCAACATGAGTTGGTCGATCTCAGACCTCTGTGAGTCTGCAAGAACACAACTCAGTGAAGCAAACTGTTTTCCAAGAGGCTTAATTCCCCTCTAGAAAGACACAAACCTCCCACAAGAACATTCAGGGGGCTACAAACCAAAAGGTTAAAACCCACAGATAATGTTAGAATATGAACAGGTCAGCAGTACAGGCAATCCAGACAGACCACAGAGATGGACAGCCAGAACAACAGCTGAAGTGTTGGCTCTGCCAAGTGACAAACTCACTTATTCTCACTATCACATCACATATTTGCATTTTTTCAGTAATAATCTGGAGCTGCAGAGAGAAATGTGTGTTGTTGCCCACCCAGAAGGGACAAAGCACACTATCTGGCAGTGGAACCTGTCCTGCTCTCACTGGAACTGAGCTGGAGGGACACACACTGCTTCATCTTAGTCTCCAAAAGTAAGTTCATCTGGAGGAAAGCAAGGTGAATGAAGAAGGATAAGAGGTTAACTGAGTTCCTGCTCCAGAACAGGAGCACCTTACTCCAGCTTCAGCCTAAAACATGAGGAATCACATAAGTGAAAAAGAATAAACAGAAGGAGTTAATAAAGAGCTGTTCCAGAACGCATCCTGGAGACAAGCACAAGGTTTCCAGATTGTGGTCATTACAGAATTCCCCACTCACGTCATCAAGGCTTTCTTTCTATCTGACCTTGGTATGAGGCTCTGGTAATCTCCACATAGCAATGGTCTTTCTAATGTGTGAAATAACTCTGATTAGGGATTAACAGCAAACCAGTTTGAATCAACCTCACTTCGCCTCTCGATTGTGTTGCAAATTGTTTTTCCTCCCTTCTTCCCTCCTCTTCATTATGAGCAACACAACATTGCTTAATGCAGAAAAGTACAATTTCCTTTCCATAAAAACAGAGAAAACAAGAATGTGCCAAAGTGGGACGGGCAGGTTCTCCTTCACCCTGCATGCTCAGGCTGACACAACAGCCAGCGCTGCCCGGGGTGTATTTGCTTGAGGGCAGAGTGATGAGTGGATGTGGGTTAGAGCTCCTGACCTGACACCCAGCTGCTCAAACTGGCATGTTAGGCAGTTATTTACTTTCCTTTCCCTGGCATCATGCTAACCTGGCTGCTTCCTTTTTAAAGTAAAGGGCCCAGGGGCAGAAACACCTCATCCAAGAACTCTGCAGTGCTCCCTCCCACAGCTGCAGGGTTTGTTCCCTGCCCCACTGGATACACACTGAAGCAAAGCAATGAGCCCCAGTCACCTCAATAAGGCATCAGCTCTCCTGTTTCACCCTAAACTGTATAAAAAGCATGAGCTAGAGTTGGTGCTTTTATTTCCTCTATTGAGGAGTGGATCTTCTGCAGCACAGACTCGGTAAAGCCTTTACCCCTTTGCTATTCTTCCTGAATTTTCTGCATGGATGGGATACTTCTGAGGTGGGAGAAAGAGCCAGAAGAAGCAGCTGCTCACGCAGAGCCACTGCAACTCTCCCCCCATCTTCCTCCCCTTTGCCACAGGCAGCGTGACCACCTCACAGGAACCTGAGAGGAGAAGGGTACAAACGTCTATGCAAGCCATCAAGTGCTCTAGACAAGCACTATTCATCTGTTGCATGAATCAGATGTCAACAGTGTGAGGTATTTCACTGAAGCCAACATGTCCTGTCCTGCCCCTGCCCAGCCATAAGTTCATGTAGGAACTCGGAGCAAGGAACAGACCCCAAGTGCAACATCCAGGTCCCATCCTTAACCAAACACTCAAGTTTCTCCCCCAGAGATGTCGCTCTAAATGGGATTAAGTCAGATCCTACGTATGTTTATTTGACTTTAACCAGAAAGTAAATCTCTTAAATGGTGTGGACAAAAGCAGGAAATCCCTCCCACTGACTAAACATACCATCAAAGCCTCCAGAAGTTGATTAATTCTAATTTTTCCCATGTACTGGGATGCTTGACTTGGAGCTTGCGCTGTACCGATGTCGGGGGTTTGTCTTACACAACCACGGCAGGTCCTCGGCTCCACTGATGAGCCAGGAGCTGTAAAAGCACACAGGAGAGCGCCCAGGCCCACAAACACTTGCCCTGAAAAGGGACCATGCTGACAAGAGGACAGGGGGGACAAGTCCAGGTCAAGCAGCAAAACCAGGAACAGATCCATGGCCTCCAGACTCCAAGTCCAAGGCCTTGTTCTCCCCATGACCCGGCTCCAGTGTGTACTTGAGGCCAGTACCTCCGCAGTGCTGGGTGCACCCCCAGAGTGTGAGCAGCAGGTCAGGGAGGGGATCCTGCCCCTCTGCTGTGCTCTGGGGAGACCCCCCCGGAAGCCCTGATCCAGCTCTGGGGAACAGCACAAGAGGGACGTGGAGCTGCTGGAGTGAGGCCAGAGGAGGCCCCGGAGCTGTTGCGAGGGCTGCAGCAGCTCTGCTCTGGAGCCAGGCTGAGAGAGCTGGGCTGGGTCAGCTGGAGAAGAGAAGGCTCCTGAAGGGGACACCTTAGAGCAGCTCCAGTGCCTAAAGGGGCTCCAGGAAACCTGGAGAGGGGCTTTGGACAAGGGCCTGGAGGGACAAGACAAGGGGAATGGCTTTAACCTGCCAGAGGGGAGATTGAGATGAGCTCTGAGGCAGAAGCTCTTCCCTGGGAGGGTGCTGAGGCGCTGGCACAGGGTGCCCAGAGAAGCTGTGGCTGGCCCCTACCCAGCAGTGTTGTAGGCCACCACCGGAAGTGGAATGTGTCCCTGCCCGTGGCAGGGGTTGGAGCTGGAGGAGCTTTGAGGTCCCTTCAACCCAAACCATTCCGTGACTCTGGCCCTAGGTCAGAGCATGAACACACAGTGAGCTGGACTCTCCTGGTTTACCACACCACACTACGTGTAGAAAAGTAGTACTTAAGCACAGAGTTCTCCTGTGAAACCCAGCTAACTTGTGAATCATACCAGTGCTGCTGATTTCTGGCACCAAACTCACAGGACAGCTGCACATTGTCTGGAGAAGATATCAGGCTAAAAATAGATTAGGCTTAGATTAAAGCCTTCCCAAGGCAGACTGGTGGACAAAACAGAATGAGCAGACCACAGATCCACTGCTATTCTTAGATAGACAAAATCAGGCCCTCGTTTTGCTCGCTGCAGTTTTCAATCCCCAGTGTCCCCACGTATTCCGGCCACAAATTCCCATCATAAATCCAAGCAAATTTACAGCTTTTCTGACATGTGTTTTGCTTCCCAAGGTATCCTATGTAGAAAAGCTAGAATTGCACAAGAACATTTGCCTGTGCCCCTCTTTGTCCCTGGCGTGCCCCATGCTGAGGTTTGGCACTGGGCAAATTTAATGCCCTCGGGAGAGTTCCCTTTGTCAGGGACAGGAAGCATTTGGTTTGGTACCTTGTAACTATCCTGATGCATTCAGGAGCACATTAATGTCACAAGAAGACCAGTTCCATCAAGCAAGCTCAAGGAATAAGGACTGAGATACACGGATTAACTGCTGAAATAAGGCAGAATGATCCTCAGCTGCCAGGGTGACAAACAGTGTCTGCAGGGACATCCACCATCATCATCATCATCATCATCAAGGAGCTTGAATGAGAGAAAGCCTGATGCACCCTGTGATTTCAGCTGCAGCTGACACTGATTTGATAGCACAGGGAATCCTTGCCCCTTTCAAAAAGCAAAGCCAGTGACTCTTTGCATTGACCCCCCCAAGAGTTGGGGCATCCCTGGTGCCCGGCCATTTCTCTCTGGCTAAAGGCAGTAACTGCCACCTACCCACCCACTGCTGGCTGCCCCACGCTGTGCAAGCACAGCAAAATTCAAGCGTCACCAGGTACACCATGGTGTCCAGTGAAAGGATGAGAGGAAGTGGACACAGACTGAAATACAGCGAGGCCAGAGGAGGCCATGGAGTTGCTGCAAGGGCTGGAGCAGCTCTGCTCTGGAGCCAGTCGGAGAGAGCTGGGCTGGGTCAGCTGGAGAAGAGAAGGCTCCTGAAGGGGACACCTTAGAGCAGCTCCAGTGCCTAAAGGGGCTCCAGGAAACCTGGAGAGGGGCTTTGGACAAGGGCCTGGAGGCCAGGGCCAAGGGCAATGGCTTTAACCTGCCAGAGGGGAGACTGAGATGAGCTCTTGGCAGAAGCTCTTCCCTGTGAGGGTGCTGAGGCGCTGGCACACGGTGCCCAGAGAAGCTGCAGCTGCCCCATCCCTGGCAGTGTTCAAGGCCAGGTTGGACACAGGGGCTTGGAGCAACCTGCTCTGGTGGAAGGTGTCTCTGCCCGTGGCAGGGGTTGGAGCTGGAGAAACTTTAAGGTCCCTTCAACCCAAACCAGGCTGGGATTCCATGAAATCCCATGTTAGTTTTTTACAGTGAGGGCAGTCAAACAGTGGCACGAGTTGTCCAGGGAGGTTGTGGAGTCTCCATCCTCAGCAATACTCAACACCTGACTGGACAAGCTCCTGAGAAACCTGCTCCAGGTCCCCCTGCTCTAGCAGGTAGGTTGGACACGATGATCCCCGATCATGCCATCTCACCTCAGCAGTGCTGCAAA